TTAGACTTTAAGTGACTGTGAATCATTTGGGAAACTTTGAGTAACAGAGACTGCACATTGAAGCTATTGCTACTGAGAGGTCATCCTGGAGTAGCAGCTAGACTCTTGTTAAAAAAAGAAAAAAGAAAGACTGAGGGGTCTACCTCATGTGCTAAAAAGATAACGTTATTTAGTCATCTCAACATCAGGGGATGTGGGTTTTTTCTTCACCTCAGCTGTCTAATTTACTATGCTACTTTGAGCAAAATTATTTAAACCTTTATTTTCCTTTCTGTAAAGGAATCACAAAGGTATTTTAAAAGCCTCTGATGCAAGTGTAACGTATGAATGCTGCTGGAATAGTTCCTGGTAGACGACTACATTGGCTGTCTATGGGAAAGCCCTTGGAAACTGGTTCATTGTGGCCATGGGATCAGTAATTAAAAAGTAACTAGAGCAGATAATGCTTACACAGAGAATACAGCTTTCTGTTACAGCCGGTCTCCATATATTTATCAAACCATAGTGGTGAGTTTTCTTGCACATCTGCCATTAGCAGCTGCTTCTACAGAAGTGTTGTAGAGGTGAGGACAAAAACCCATACTGGCACCTGGCCTCATGTGGACACTGCTTAACCAAAACCCATGCTAACATAGGAAAGGCTGATAATATGTTCACACAATGCAGGAAGTGGTCTTCAGGTCAGCCCTCAGTTCTGTTCTTCGGTATTTGTATACCATATTTACTTGCATACCATATCGACCCCCCCAAATCCCTCCAAAATTAGTGCATCTTAAGCAGGGAAGCTGATTTCTGTGCTGAAATTGAAGCATAGGACACTGTAATGGCTGCCAGGACACAGCTTCTTTCTCAGGCAGGGAGGGAGCGCAATCTGCAGCATCATAAAGCTGCTGACAACTTGTCAGCAACAGTGAGAAGGTTAAAACTAGCTTTTGGGTAGGCAGGAGCCAGCCCTACCTCTGGAAAAATCTTTTTTTCTTTATTCCATGTTCCCCAAACAAGGTGAACGTCTTACCTGGGGGCATGTGGTATGCAAGGAAATACGGTATGACAAAGTGAGTGTGTTGGGGAGAGGGAGAGGACTCCTATCATGGACATTCACCATGTGCGTTAAGAAAGGACTGTCCTTAGGCATACTGACTCTCCCTTGCCACGTGCACAGCCTGGGCAGCTCAGCTCTTCCCTGCTACATGCACAAGCCTGGTAGCCCAGTTCTTCTCTGCTGAACACTCCTGGCCATGTGCACATGGTTCCTCTCTTGCAGTGTGGGCAGCTTAAGATTTCCCCCTGCTGCATGTGCAGCACCCTCCTGCCACCTCTCCCCACTCTGCCCTGCCCCCGTGGGAGCAGAAGCAAGAGGAGGGAGGAGGAACCTGACTGCTCTAGCTACCTAAGCTGCTGGAGTGGTGGAGGGTAGTGGTAGCTGGGGGCAAAAATGGAGGCCATAAGTTGGACAGCCCTGTATTAAGAGATACATTTTTAAACATACAAGCTGTTTCCTGTTTTTTTTTTTGCTGGCCTATGAATTCAGTCTGACCAGGTACAGTCAAGATTAAACTGTGATAATTTAGTCAGAGCCCATTTGATTTGCTTAACTAGGTGTTTGTCAGAGAGTATCCTCACCAACTGATAACAGGATCCCATTGTGCCATGCACTGGATAAACCCCAAGAAGAGATGGTCCCTAACTGGACAGCTTACAAAAAATAGACTAGAGTGAGGGGGAACAAAAGCAAAAACAGGCATAGACAAGAGAAGTGCTCCACAAGAAGCTAGCATCACATCAGAAACAGACCATAGGTCCCCAACTACTGGTACATACTGCCTCACAATGGCATATGGTGGCTATTCCTTCCTGCAGAAGCCAGGGTAGATTTACACAGGGCCACCTCAGAACTGAAACATCCCTTTGGACAATCCAGGCTGCTCTCAGTTAGTATAGGAAGCTTGGCTGATCGTTGTTCCTCTTCATCACTCCTCAAACCTATTGAGGGTAAACTGTGTCCCTACAGTCTCATCTGTGTGATCCCAAGAATGCAGGGGCTGCAGTGGCCCCAGGCCTTGTATGTGCTGCACAAGTAAGGCTCTTTTGTCTCTGGTCACATCTACATAACCTCCTTCCTGACTCTCATCAATTTAAGTCCAGCCCTCTTGCTCCCAATTGGGTACACCAGGAACTAGCAGGGTAGATGACTTGGAGTGGCCTCGCCTGTGGGATACAGCAGTGGCTTACATGCTGAACCACTTGCGGCCAACTCTTGAGCAGTCTATTCTGCTTAGTGTAGGACCGGCTGTCCTAACCTGAGTTGCCCAGAAGGAAGGCACAGTGTGACTGTTTTAACATTTGCTTGCCTGAAACACACAAGACAGCACTACCTCCTTCTCACTACTGCCCTGAGGGAGTCAGTCAAGATACACAGCAGAAAACTATGTGAAATGTCTGAAATTACTTTTCCTGGTGGAAAAGCAGTAGTTCCCCATCTCTCAAAAAAAGTGAGTGGAGGCATTCAGCAACAGCACAGGTGACAATGCAGTCATTAACCAGGGATCCTTATTAGCTTTAGATGACATCTCAGTCCAAAGGCAGACAGTTTAAACTCTGCCTACCCCAACTACTAAAGTAAGCCACACTTTCTGTTGTAATATTTTGGCTAACTTAACAACAGTGGGGAGAGACTCCTGGCTGGACTCTGTGGATCCTGTCAAAAAACATTACTTACCATACACAGCTAGGTCCCAGAAACTTAAACTTCCTATCTACTGAGAGGCACATTTATCCTCAATTCAAGTCCAAAGGGCAGTTTAGCATTCTTCTTTTTCAGGAATCTCCCATGTGGACTCTGGAACCTCGAAGACAAATTTAATTATTAAAATTAACACTGCACAAATATCTAGCAACTCCACGTGAAATCGGGGACCCAGTGTTCTTGGTGCTGTACAAACATAGCAACTGAAGTGTTTCAAAATGAAACATTTCAACTGAGCCATGAACAAAGAGCTAAACAGGGGATTGGGGCTGGAGGATCTGGGCCCAGGGGTGGCCCCAGGGGTCAGTTTGTGTTGACCCTAGAGTGTCCTGGGACTTGGAGTGGGACCTGGCAGCTGGACAGCTCTCCCATCCCACTCTCCCTTACTCATGCAGACATAAGTAAGTGAAACAGGTGAAGTGCTCTAAACTGGCACTCAAAAAGGTACTGTTTTGGAACACTTCCACTGCTTTTGTAACAGTTCAAAGGACAAACACATTTGTACAGCTGACCTTTTGAAGTGTTTTAAAGGTGTTTGAAATGGTTTTAATTGTGACATGTGTCTGCATCCTGAGAGGGTTCCTGCTTTGGACATCTAGTCTAAAGAGACCAAACAGACACAAGGTGGGATGAAAAAGGGGCACAGATGGGTGAAACTTAGGAAGACAAGTGACAGATCAAAGAATAGAATCCTGATCTAGAGTCCCAGGCCAGTAACTGTATTCATGCTGTGTATACTCTCCAAGGGATCTGTCGATTAGCAGCAGAGTCATTTCCACTATCATGTATATTCCCCCTTTTAGCATAAAATTAGGAAGGCTAAGGCCGTTTACAGACACGGAAAAAGAAACAGTGCTTTACTTCCAGCTTGGCACACACCCATGCTAAGCGCAGTGCGTCCCCAGAAGAGGCATTGGGGCAGTTTGACCCGGTTTGCCCCACATCTGTATAGCTCATATGCTTCAGTGGGGCTTTTTTGCACTTTTATTTAATAGCTGAGATAGAAGCACCAAAAAGCCTTGCTGAAGCTCATGAGTTATACAGACATAAGGGAGCTGGATCAAACTGATGTGATGCCTCTTCTGGTAAAGTGCTGGCTTTTTTTAAAATGAGTCTGTTAGCACCCCAAGTGACCACATCCTACCTTTACCTAGCAAGCAAATTGTTTTAAAAAAGATTTAGCATTAGATGGTGCTGGGTTGATCTGTTATAGATACAATTCATTTTTTTGAAATTTTTAATATCAGATTTTAAAAATTTGAAATTGACAGCTTACAGTAAAGCCACAATTCACTGTAGTCTAATAAAATAATTTAAGTAAATGTACTTAACCACTTCAGTTTGCTGCTCATGTTATGGAAAAGAATGAGCTACTAAACAGGTGGAAGATCCTTGGCTAAAGATCTGGGATTATAATTTGCTGAAGTGGTCAATCAGCTTTTGACAGCAGTAGCCTCTTTTTCAAGTGCAGAGAAAATATTTTTTCATTGCAGCTCAATGCATTCAACTAATTCAAGCCAATGACTACACTTAAAAGTTGAAAAATAAATTAGGAGCCAAAAAAAGCATGAAAAGCTTATTTTTTTCTTCTCAGGCTTATATAAAAATGAAGTAGGGGATGATTAGATCTACTTGTTCTAAAACCACAGTGCCCAGAAGCAATCAGTTCAATTAACTATCTTACAAATCAGTCAGGTTAAAATGCAATGCATACTTTGTTAATCATATGCATTTGCTTTATGTAACTAATACATTTTAAAATCTTCCTTTTGGGCATTTTAATTTAATTTCTTTTAAATTGCAGCTTACCGTGAAGTATGGGTAAAAAGTGTCCTCATCTAGAAAATAAGAAATGTATCATTCACCATTTTCTAAACATAAATAAGATATAAGCTAATAACCTGAATACACTTAAGATACATAAATGTGTAAAGGGATTTTTTCTCTTCCTCAGTAGCATAAAGCAGCAGCAGATTAGGGCCGAGGCTACATGTTGTTGCAAATCAACATTTTACATAACCACAAAAAAGAAAACTCCACATTTTGTTTAGGAAAGCAATTAAAATACAAACACAAAAGGTAAGCTAAACGATTTAAATCAGTTTCTTGCTTGCTGATTTTAATCATGATTAAAATGCATGATTTATATTATTAGTGCATCATGTTTGCATGTTCTGAGAGTTTTCTCAAATGTAACTGAATGGTTTCTGGAGCTGGAATATCTGAGAAAGTGCAACACAATTGATGGAGGCAAGAAAGACATTTAAAGGAAGGCATTATACTGAGGCAACATCTTTTTTATTTCTGTACATTTACATACAAATTTTTTTCAGTAGGTACAACAGATGTAACATCATGCAGACATTTAGCTTGTAAGACTGTTTTCAGTACTTGATTTAAGCTTGTGCTATGAATAAGCACCACCAGACTATTCATGATCAAAACATACAGTAACACGATTCTTTATTAAAACTTCATCAGAAACTGAGGGGGGAGGGAAGTCTCACCCACTAGACATAAACACACTGTACTCCTTTCCCAAAACATTTCACACAATACATTTAAAATGAGGTTTGTCTTTTTAAAAAAAGTTGAAGTGAGGGTGGAAATCACCCCACACTTAGTGTTGTCTGTATGTGTCAGCTACAGGCGCAACTTGACTCGACATTCACAGAGTTCATTTAATGGCACTTCTGCTTCCAATTTGGTGACCTTTAGTGTTTGGCTCCAGGAAGTGGCAACATTTAAGTAAAATACTTCCGTTAAAAAAAAATTCTGCTTAACCAAAAAAAAAAAATGCCCATCAAAAATCACCCTTTTGAGCTGCCATAAAATACACTTAAAAATGGCAAGCAGACTTGCACATTTTTTTACCCTGTCTTATACAGTTATGGTATGTGTTTGGCAACAGAAAAATTACTATAAGCCTGAAAGAAGAAAAAAGTGGACTAAGTCTGATATCACTTTCACATTCTGTTTACATTTTTAAAAGGAAAAAGGCTTTCAAATAAATAATAATAATCATAATCCTCCTCCTCCGGTAGGGTTAGCAGTACCAATGATTTCTGGAAGGAAATGGCCTGAATGGGTGGTATAGCTTTGCCTGCTTTGTTCGCCATGCTGACTGGAAAACAGCAGCTGTCCAAAGAAAACAATTCCTTTGCACCAGCCAGGGAAAGAACACAATTGAGAATTTCTGGTTTGACAGACATTTGTTAAAAGATTGCCAGAGCACCCATCCAGGCAAAGAACTGAACAGAGCACATTGGGGAACAAAGAGTATGTCTCTAAGGCACAGTCCAGCACCCCACTGAGATACCCAAGCTAACTGAACGAGCTGGCCTGGGTACCAGAAGAAATGCAGCCACGTTAGTGCAGTGCTCTGCCCTGGCTAGAATACCCTGCTTCTGAAGTGGAATTTCAGCAGAATGCAATGCTAACATAGCTAGACTGTTTCTGGTACCTGAACTAGCTCAGATATCTTTGCATGATACTGTATTGTGCTGGGCAAACATGTCCTCCTGTTCTACGGTACCATAGAGTAGCTTAAAAAGCATCCCTGCATTACCTACACACACCAAAAGCTTTTGACTAATACCTTAAAAACCAATACAAATAAAGAACAGATTGTTTTTTTCATTTTTTCTTTTGCTAATAAGCAACTACAAGTGCTAGTGATAGGACAGTAAGTCACAGTTTTGTTGCGACAGAACTGGAAAATCTAGCAACCCAGAGTTGGGACCTTAGTACCAAATACCTTGTTCCAGGCAAGTACAAAAATAAATAAATAAAAAAATAAAAAAGGTAAAAGAAAAAAAAACATTAAAAGCATTGCCAAGTGCTCCTGTCACCTAACCTATTTCTTAAATCAGTGGTTTTCAACCTTTTTTCCATTTGTGGACCCCTAAAACATTTCGAATGGAGGTGCAGACCCCTTTGAATTGTAAGTGTGGGTATTCACATACTTTTGACTGATCATACTCATCTTTAAAGACCCCTTAAACATAGTCTGCAGATCCCTAGGTGTCCGGGGACCACAGGCTGAAAACCATTGTCTTAGATAAATATGTTGATAAGTTTGAACAACTGTTCTCCTCCCTGGGCCTGTTAGTAATTGAAGAGCAAATGCCAGAATAGGAAACTAGAAAGCACTGTGGACAACAGCGTTGAGCAGACCAGAACTATAACAGTGCTAAAAGCAGTCAGTTTAATAGGCTTGTGAATGGTCTACACGATTTGTACTGTAGCTTGAGCCTAGATGCACAGAGACCATGAATAAAAAGCCGATCCATGGCATATGGATTGCCAGGTGCTGTGTAACAGCTCTGAGCCCATGTGCTTGCCCACTCTTCCACAAGCCCCTGCTCTTGCTATTGAGCTCTCATTTCAAGGTCCCCAATTCTGTTCTTATTTGTTTTACTTCCCCGATTTTGTTATAAACTCACCTTTCCTGATTTGTGACTTGTAACAAGTGTCATATAAAAGGCAAACGGTATCACGCAAGTTTGGCACATGAATACTGCACGAATCGAAAGGCCTTAGTTTCAAGGTGAATGCAGACTGGAAATATCTGAACATGGAGTCAAAACAAACAGAAAAAAATAGGAGAGGTGGCCACCTTCAAGCCACTTGGTAACTAGGGGTGCAGTCAAAAATTGGGCTCTCACTGTCACAGCAAATCTTGTGAAAACAGTAGTGTAACTTGAGGAAAAATTCCCATAACTGGTCCAGTGTTTCTTACCACATTAAAGAAGAAGAACCCAAATGTCCACATCCTCCATACAAAAATTAGCAGCTTTAGGACAACATTGTTTTTCCAGCCACAGCCATTTCTGTCACTTTGACAGGTCTACCCATCCTCGATGCCCGTCAGCATGTGAAGTGGTGCTGCTTATTACGTTGCCTACAACGCAGTAGATCTAATTCACTGTGGGTTGTAAGAGGACAAAGGCAGCCAAACAGAGGACGCAAGTTGTAGGTACAGTAGTTTACAGACAAATCTCTAGAGCACAGAAGGGGGAGGGGAGAACAGGAAAGGGCAGATGGGCCTTTTCCATGCTCACAAATGTAAGATGTACATCAAACAAAGTGGCATTCATATGGACGCTCAATACAACATTAGACATCCTGCTGCTCTGTTCACTGAAATGGCTGTACCACTGAGCAAATCACAAATGCATGGCCTGAGTGGAAAAGGAAAGGGGACATTATCTAGGATGCAATAACACTTCTAGTTCAGAAACTAGATTAACTAGATCGATAGGACATTCACACAACAAGAACTGAAACTTGATGGCAAAAACAAATCTATTGCTAGTTTGGGGGCTGGAGAGGGAGAGGTCATCTGGCTATTATTACCAAGTAGCCAGCTGTACAACAAAGAAAAGATTCGTTTCTCATGTTACTGTGCATAGAACAGAACTGTTTTGATTGATCAAATGAGTTATCCTATAGGATTTTACTTCCCCCTCCCAAGGGAGATCCTACAAGAATATGTGGTTTTTGGTTTGCTTTTTGCTTTTTGCTTTTTTTTTTTTCCTTTTCTTTTGATAGATTTAAGGTGGCCATTTGCTGTAGATTCTTGGGTTGAAAACAGCAAACGAGAGAGCAAAATATATATTAATCACAATCCAGTTGTGGTTAGGTAGCATTAAAAATGACCACTTCCAAGGGAGAACAATCTTGTCCTTCTTACACAAGCAATGCTTTAAACAGACCTTTCCTTTTTCATCTTCAGTTTTTATTCAAATGATCTGTTGATTCATTCCCTTCTTAAAGACATTTATAAATATTAAGCCATTTAAATTAGAAAATAGGCTTTAAACAATTAGGACATGCAATGACACCAATCTCGCAGTAGTGGAAATTTCAGTTTAACTCACTTGTGGAGCAAGCATACAGATTATAGCCAATGTTCCTACATTTTTGTCTCCTTTGACCTAAAATATTCTTCTGGAACACAGAGTTACAGATTTTGAACCTCCTGTTAGTTAAAACCATTCATGGTAAAAACAAATTTAAAATCGCTGTTGCTCAATTCATTTGAGTTGCTTATATTATTATTATTACTGTTGCTGTTAAACACTTGCAGGAATTCCCTAAAAGAGCTGAATGGGATATTTAAAATGTATACGGCTGATGCAGATTGAAAAAATCCTAGACTTCTTGGGGCAGTATATTCCTGACTGCTTCTACATCAATAAAAAAAATGAACTCCACCACTTTAATTTGGAAAGTAACTTTTAAGTACATAGGGGCTCACTATCAAAACCAAATTTATGCTGCATATATGTAGTCAGACTCTGCATCACAGCAGATTGTTTTGTTCTCTTTGTCCAAACCACGCAGCAGGCAAGGTGTGCAGGTTCTGACCTTCCAGAAAGGCAGAAATAATGTGGAAAGAACCTAAGCTGTGGTGAATTCAACTTTGCAGCAGAGATGCTGCTTCCTTATAACAAAGCAAAGAAGAAAACCCACAGTTGCTTTCTTGGAATGGCTACACCTCTTAAAATAAGATGGCTTCATTTCTGTGATCAATGAGAGGAAAAGGAAATAAAGTGCTTCTTAAAAATAATCAAAATAAATATACGCAATGGCAAGGAAAAAAAGAAGTTTTGAAGGGCTATCTCCAGCCAGTTCGCATCTCAGATGCGGTTTTTTTCCTCCCATATCCTTTTTAGAAGCAATCGCAACATCAGATGAAGATTCCTATAATAAGTGGCGTTAGCGCTAGAGTTGAATTTCCTCATGTTCCATCCGTCACTGGTCTGTAAACCAGGGCAAAAGCAGCCCCACCTCAGAGAGCTCCTTCTCCTGCCCAACGAGCAAACAAAAAAAAAGGAAAGAAAGAGAAAAAAGAAAAGAACCCTGACCCCCCACCCAGTTACATAGACTTCATCCCATTGGCGGTGGCATTCTCGGACATCCCATCACTCACGGCAGCCGAGTCATGGAGACCAGAGTAATCCTTGAGTTCAGAGTTTGTCAGGAGCAAGGGCTGCTCCCCCTTCTTGTGTGGCAGAAGAGGTTGCCTGGTGTAATGTTCCCCGTCCGGGATGTTCTCTGGCAGGTTCTGGTTCTTGCTCTCAGGCAAGAGGAGAATGCAGATGATGCAAATGAGCGTACAGCAGGCAAAGATCACATGGTGCAGGAAGTAGCCTTTCTGGTTATGGAGCTCCATGATTGGTGCAGTCAGCATACCAAAGCCTGCGCTGGCCAGGATGAGGCCAAGTCCACCTCCCCTGCAAAGACACATAGGCTAAGCACCAGCTCTTCATACAGAGAAACCTACCTACTGCAGCAGGCATGGATTTTAAACATGCTTTTGTGGAAAATTTCAAGCCTTCCCCACCAATGTGACCACATGCAACCTTGCACCGAGCTGGTCACATGGGTGTCAACTACTATTTTAATTAGATGCGCTTGCTTTCATACAATTCCAGAGCTAGAAGCCACTTCAAAAGTCATCTAGTCCAACCCCCTGCACAGATGCCAAGTTTGCTATTCCTACTCTCTCCCAGAGAGGTGCCTGTGAAACCTCTTGAAAGTCTCCACTCAGGGAGATTCCACAGTGTTCCCGGGAAGCTTGTTCCACTATCCTACTGCTGTAACAGTAAAAGGAAGCTTTTGCTGACATAATCTAAACCCACTGCTTGCATCCTGTCCTGTGCAACAAGGGAGAACTATGTTTCCCCCTCTTTCTTATAGCAGCCTTTAAGATATTTGAAAACTGCTATTTATGTCCCTGTTAATATCCTTTTTTCCAGGCTAAACATACTAAATTCCTTCAACTTTTCCTCACTCATCTTGCTTTCCAACCCCTTTATCATATTCAACACTTGCCTCCGAATCCTCTGCAACTTCTCTATACCCTTCTTAAAACATGGTGCACAGAACTGCATACGGTACTTTAGCTGAGGCCAATCAGGATCGAGTAGTGCGGCACCATCACTTCCCTACGTCTTGCATATAATATTTCTGTTAAACAGTCCAAAAGTGCATTCATACGCTCTTTTCTTTGTAACTGCTTCATGTTACTTGTTCTTGTTGAGTCTGTGTTCCACCACAAGTCCCCCACACTTCTCAGCAATGCCAGTGTCTATCTAACCACTGGTCTGAAATTCTGTATCTCTGCATTTGTTTTTTTCTTTCCTAGACATACTAACTTGCATTTGTCTTTGTTGAATTTCATCCTGTTGTCTAGTGCCAGCTGTCCAGTTTATCAGGATTGTTTTGAATTCTATTCCTATTCTCTAAAGGATACAAGATCCCCTCCCCCCCTTTTTAGAACATCTGCAAATATAATTAATAAGTTTTCTATTGCCTCCACATCTTTAATCAAAACGTTAAACCGCATCAGAGTCAGAACAGCAGGGAAGAAACACCAGCCTGCATAAGTTTATCAGCTCAAACCACAGCAGTTCAAATACCCTGCCTTGCCCAGAGAGCACAGGCAACCAGGCTGAAAAAAAAACTTCTGGTGGTCCCATTTTCAAATGATAAGGTATATAAAGATAATGATAAGGGCCTCACAATGGTAACAAGAATGTTGTGCGAGTGACACCTGCTGATGCTATGGACTTGAAAGAGAACTTATGGGGGCTGCTCGTGGTCTTCTCTATGCTCCTTTGGGCCAGTGCATAATAAGGCCTTTGCTCAAACCAAGGCTTTGAGTGGGTCCATGCAGAGAGTTCTCATAGAGAATGGTTTTTCCTCAAAATTTTAGGGCACACAAGCCTGGTCCCTTACTCATCCCTTCCCCTTATTATCCGAACTGGGACAGAGGCTAAGTAGGAGGTTCTCTCGGGCTCCAAAATTCTGCAAGGCCCAGTTTATCCTCCTCAAATGTGGCCAGGACAGTTAAGCTCCAGTGGAAATGGAAGAAGAATTCTCTGTTCCATCCCTATATTTATGGAGGAAGCAGAAAAGGAAAAATCTATATCTGCTTCTCTCTCCAGTTAATAAAAGAGCTCTCCAGACTTATTGGGAATCCCCAAGTGCCCAGGAACTGAAAGAGCAAGCAAGGGCTGTACATTAAAAGGGTGAGATTACACATTATGATCAGACCATGCTAAGAGCACTTAAAATTTGAAGGATCACACATTAAGGCTCATTAATGAAGTGCTAAGTGTCCTCTAGGTTACACTACTCAAGTTACACCACTTCAAGTGAGGATTATCTTTGAGCTGTGCTATCTAGCTCAGTTTAAATTAACCTCTGGGTATTCATCTGAGATAAAGCCATCAATTCACAGTCCTCCCATATCCCAGGAGGCACTGCTCTCAGGTGAACTAGCTATCATCCAGGACTCTAAGGCCCTGGGAACAGCTGGGCAACAGGTGGGTGGAGATGGATTGAGTGGGGAGGGAGGGAGGGAAAAGGGATGAGGGGGGCAGGGAGGAAGAGGCATGAGGAAGGGTGGAGGACCTGCCAGAATGCTCTCTCCTCTACCCCCCAAATTACCCTAACCCCCAAATTGCCCCCTCCATTCTCAGATTGCTCCTCTGCTACCCCAACTGGGCTCGGCACCCCCAGACCACTGCCCTGCCAACCTGATCAGACTGAGATTGATGAGGTGCTGGTGGTGGGGTTCCCCTCCCTGCCTGCTCCTGGGGTCCCTGCAGACCTGCTGCCCCTACACACCCGTATCTAATCCCCACCAGGATCTTTGACTGAAGGGGAGGCAGCAAGGAAGGGCCTGGGGGGCAAGGAGCTGCGAGAAGCTGCAGGGCCCGCTGGGGGTCAGATCTGGGTGTGTAAGAGCGGTGCGGGCTGCAGGGAACCTAGGAGCAGGCAGAGAGGGTGAACCCCTTTCCTCCCCTGCTACTGCTGCCACCTCTGCTCTTGGGCTGACTGGGGTGGCAGAGCCACAATCTGAAGATGCAAGGGCCAATCAGGGAGTGGAGGGAAGCCGGGGTGAAGGGGCCAATCAAGGGCCAATGGAAGACAGTGGGTGATCTGGAGGGGGGTGGGGGGCGATCCAAGTGGTACAGGGTCCCCTTATTCCCCCTCCTCCCCAGCTTATACTGAGACTAGAGAGCTTGCAAGCAGGGCAAGAATGGAGAAGACTTGCAGTCCCTGGCCATGGCCCTGCTCACCAGTTTTCTAGTGGCAAATCTGAGCAGCGCACATTAGAGAGGGTATTAACCCTAAACATGACTGATCCCTAGAATCTGTTAACCTTAACACAGATTAACATTCTTTAGAATTAGCACCTGCCATGTAATCTCACCCATAGAAACAAGCCGTTGCTTAATCTTCATCTGGGCAGACCCCTTAGTGCCAGCTTGAACGAAATCCCTTTTGTTTCTCCAACAAGGTCATAGAGGCACTTCCCTGAACAAACTGAGTCACCTTGCACAAACAATCCTTCCTTCCTGTGGGGACTACATGTCCCAGCCCCACTTGTTGCTCAGTTTCAGCTAGCTTTTCTTCACACCCACTCTTTCAGCTGTTGTGCCACCAGTTTCCATGTGGTGTCCTGAGGATTTGATCCTGCAGGGACAACTATTGCACAGAAGATCCAGCCACAATTTCCCAGACAGGGAGTTCATGTCAGAGCCAGTAAGACGTTGGTTCCAGTCACCTTCACTTGGAAGCTCCAATATCAGAATCTGAGATGGATCATTTTAGTAGAGGGCCCTCCCTACCCAGGACAGCATCGAGACTCAAGGATTGTGTGCACATGGGAGCACATGCACCTGTCCTCGTTCCCATCACTACTATCTTTTGGTCCCCATCTTTCCACCTCTATGTTTGCAGGCTGTAAGGTAGCATGTACTAGACAGTTATGTGTTTAATTGATTGACTGATATTATGTTATATATTACAGCATTATAAATCCTCAGGCTGCTAGCCACTGTCCATCTCATTCAAAGCTAATCCCCAAACTCCTGATCTTCTCAGCCTTCATGGATTTACAGCTGGGCTACTAAAGTGCAGGAAATGAAGGCTGCCAGAATTATGCTGCTCAGACCACAGAAAAGAGCAAAACAATTAATCAGGGCAATACTTAATTTTCTAGCTTCCAAGGGAACAATTTTTGGCATAAACTATAAAGTTGCTCCTCTGAGCTTTACAGAAGAAAGCTTAGTTTTGCCTGGGCTTCTGGGTTTTGTGATGTTAGTAGATACTCTGGGCCCTGGCATTAAGCTTCACAGTTTTCCCCTGAAAAATTCAAGCCCAGCCAAGGCTAATAATTTGCTAACTTAATTTCTCAATGCTTAAGTAATTCTTATTCATCTGTTCATGAGTAAATTGCAGGACCATCAAATACACAACAATTGGTAGGCTCATGCCCCAAGTGGATGCAAAAATCTGGTTCTTCACTGCTTTACTCCTAGTGTAATCATCACTGACCTCAGTAAAAAAAGTGTACATAGAATACTACCAAAGCAGGAGGAAGGGCATGCCTGCACAAGCTGCAAGGCATGGTGGAAAAGTCTTTTTGATGTTGTACATCAAAGACTTGGGGGGTGGGGGGGAGAGAAAATAGCTGAACTGAATTTTAAAAGCATTTCAAATTAGGACATTATATGTACTGAAAAGAAAACTGAGGCAGAAGGCAGATGGCTCAATTTTACATTCAATATGCATCAGGAAACAAGATCAAAAGAAAGAACCATATTTCCTCAGTGTGGGTGAACATGGTGAGTTGTAATATTATTTCTGGGATGGATAATGAGGAGAACTATTGATGCTTGAATATAGTATACTATCAATCTACTGACTAGAGGGGTAATTAATCATATAAAATAATGGCTAATTCTACATTAAGAGTAAATGTTTTCCTTCCTGACATGTAAGGAAGAACCGGATAAGTACAGCAAAAAACCCAAAAACAAACCCCCCCAAACAATCAGGCTTTTAAGTGAAGCAGACTTTTGTAGGTCACGTTTTATATAATAGGCTGGATTCAGAAGTTTTTAGTGGTGCTAGGTTCCTAGGTATTATTCTTCCTCATTAAACTATTTTTCTTAGATTTATGGTTACAGCTTTCTATTTGGATTTATTAAAATATATGGAATAACAACAGATGTATAGTCTTGCAGGTCAAGAGTCTGAAATGGACACAAGAAAGACAAATGGTCTCTTTCCACTTCTCTGTCTCCTAATTCTAATTTGTGCTTATAAACTACCTTAAAATTTCCAGACATTTATATTATATACTAGCCAATTGCCCATCAAGAATGACCGGGGTGGGGTGGGGAAGAGACACGGACAGGACAAAGGCCTGCATCCCTTCCTTCCCCCACCTCAGGCCAGGGCTGTGGCCGGGGCTGTTCCCTCCCCCCCGCTTCGGGCTGTACCCACCCTCCCCTTCTGGCTGCCTCCCCTCCCTGCCAGCTGTTGTTGAGGGGGGAGCAGCCCCTGACTCCAAGGAGCAGACGCGGGGCATGGGGGATGAGGCCAACGCTGCTGGCCTGCCCCCCACACTCCATCACCTCCATTACGATGGCGCTCTAGTCCCTGTCATCCCCTTCTGCCTCCAAGGAGCAGGGGAGGGGGGGGTGAGGCCAGTGGAGCTCCCCTCCCCTCTGGCCTCAGTTCCCACTGTCACAGCAGTGCTCCACTGTCTATCCCTGTTTGTGTAGGGCACTCTGATTGGCTGCCGAGACAGCCAATCAGAGCGCAAATAAAGTGTTATGGACAGACAGACAGGTGTAGGCTTTTATAATATTAGAATATTAATAATTAGATCAGTGGCTCTCAACCTTTTTAGAGTTGAGGCACCTCTGGTTGGACTTGAGGCAGTCTTTGGAAAATACCAGCTCTTAGTTTTCACAATTTTTTTTTGCCTGATTTGTTCTGTTTAAAAAAAAAAAAAAAAAAAAAAAAAGCAGCGAAGTTATAACTATGGATTTCTGTTTGAAAGCTCTGGGTTTACCCTGTGAATCATGTTTCTAAGCCTAACAAAGCTAAGATTGTGTGGAACCCCATAACACCCTTGAAAGGAACTCAAGGCATCCAATGGTGGCCTGGCACCCTGGTTGAGAGTCACTGAATTAGACCTTAGAAAAGTGGCTACTATCATGACCTCTGCTATTTCCTATGTTACCACAAGGGAGCAGGCTCTGCTCACCTTCATTCAGTGAACGAACTACAGATAAGTAAATGCAATAATTCACACAACTGGCAGAGCAAACCCTGAAATTGGAAAGGAGCAAACCCTGGAAAGGCCTAGATCCAAAATTTCCTGTCTTTAAAATGGTTCCCTAATATTATTTGAGATTTTCTCCTGGCATACTGGAATTTCAAATATAAACAGGATTTTTTTTTAGTCATTTTAAAACAAGAGCAAAAAATTCTCCCTAAAATTCTTTGCTGGAGCAAAACTAACAGCAAGAAGGTGAGCTTGCAATTCCTCTGTAATGTTTAGAAATCACTGCCACAAGACTTTGTAGAAGCTGACAGTTTAGCCAGATTCAAAAAGGGGACTGGACAAGGATCCCCAGGACACAGAAAGCCCTCACTCTCATCCTACAAACTTAGAATCATAGAATCATAAAATCATAGGCTGCCTGCAGGCGTGAAAAAAAGAAAACAAACGCACATTACTGGAAGCAGCAGCACGTTAGTTTGAAATGGCTCTGCAGCATCTGTATGGATTGGGTGCTTCGGCAGGGGTTTTCGGCACTTTATCTAAAGCTGATTCAATCAGCTATTACATAAAAGCAACAAAATAGCCCGCTAAAGCGCCTGATTGATACAGACGTTGAAGAGCCGGGCTGAACTAACATGCTGCCTCTTCTGGGCAAGCTCTGGAGTGCGCTGAGTTTTAAGTAAAGTGCAGCTTTGCTTGGGTTTTTTTTCTTCTTCATGTCTGCAAGCAGCCATAGAATCATAGAAAGTTAGGATTGGAAGCAACCTCAGGACGTTATCTAGTCCAACCCCCTGCCCAAAGAAGGACCATCCCCAATTAGGTAATTCCAGCCAAAGCTTTGCCAAACCAGGCCTTAAAAACCTCCAAGGATGGAGATTACATTACCTCTCTAAGTAACCTGTTCCAGTGCTTCACCACTCTCCTAGTGAGATTCTTTTTCCCTAATATCCAACTTAAACCTCCCTTGCTGCAACTTGAGCCCATTGCTCCTTGTTCTGTCATCTGTCACCACTGAGAACAGTCCAGCTCCATCCTCTTTTGAATCCCACTTCAAGTAGCTGAAGTCTGCTATCAAATCCCCCCTCAGTCTTCTCTTCTCCAAACTAAATAAGCCCAGGTCCCTCAGCCTCTCCTCACAAGTCATATACCCTAGCCCCTTAACTATTTTTGTTGCCCTCTGCTAGACTCCTTCCAGCTTGTCCCCATCCTTTTGTAGTGGGGGGCTCAAAATTTCTGTCAGTGCTACTGTTAAGCATGGAGGATGGGAAAAGATAGGCACAAACCATCAAGAACCAGAGAAGGCAGGCTGTTACCTAGTCCATAGCTGCTGCTACTCCACAACAGATTCTTTTCTCCAACTGAGTGGGAGGAACAGGGAGAGGAACAGCATAATTTCCCCCGTCAACCCTTTTTTCTGAACTCCTTGGCTGGTTTGGTTAGATCAGCATAATCCACAATGACTTTTGGCATCAAGCCCATTAGAAGAGGATTACCAACTTCATTTAGTGCTTTAGTTCAATCTGTGAAATGAACTTTTTAAGGAAGTACTTGGCACAAGGAGCTGGAACTTGTCTACCTCCAGAAATCTCAAAGCCTTTACTAAGCTCCATGCTCCCCATTCTATAGACAGGGATGCTGAGGCAGAACCAGGTGAAATAATTTGTCTGAAGTCACTTGGCAGACTAGTGGCAGAGACAAGGGGATTATAACTCAGGCCTCCTTGGCCTCAGTCTGGTACTCTATGCGCCGTGACTAGGCCACACTGCTTTTCCTTAGATAAATCAAATGAAAAAGACATGATTCAGGTCACTCCATACATCTGTCAGCTAGCAGTTCCTTCTGTATACTTGATCAGCTGATTAGCCCTCTCTCTGGGTGGTTCATTCATATAAAGGCAGAGGAGAAAATTGAAAAAGGAAAACATGATAAAAATCATGAAAATCAGAGGAGTGTGCACACTTGCTCCCCCCCCCCCAGGCATGTAACTCCCCCCCCCCCCCCAGTCATGTAATTCCAAATTAAACCCTCTTCACCATCACTGATACCTCCCCCTGACAAAGGATGTAAAATAAGCTCATTAAGCCAAACAGTCGTGTGTGTGTGTGCACACATGTATGTGCACACACGCACATGTGTAATGCACTGGATCAAATAATAGCTTTGACCTCTCTTGCAGTGTTTTGCTGCATAACCTTATAAATATACAGAGCCATTTTTAGAAAAAACATATCTGCTACTTATAAATATACAGAGCCATTTTTAGAAAAAGCATATCTGCTACCCCCCCCCAACTGTCCTTTTTTTTTTTTTTTGTTTCCCCTTTAAAGAGCCCAAATTCATTTTGATGGCATTTGGGAGGGGGGCTGTTAAACTGCTTGGGCACCACTGAATATGTTATCCAGATTGTGCAAGCACAGGCTGTACATGGTCACATTATGCTGCTATAAGCACAATGAATATAAGCATAAAATGGAACAAGGACCAATGCTGTGAAGATATTCTTGGCAAACTCTCTGGAGGCAACATAGCCTAGCCGATCTTCACTACTGGCCAAAACATCAGAGCTCATATTTATAGCAAAACTTAGCTTCCTTTCAGATACATCAGTGCTTGGGGAAGAGGAGCTGGCAGGCCACTAGAGGGCTTCAAGTCATCACTGCCTTTTAAAGGTGGGACACATCCACCTTTGTCAGGGAGCCCAGAAGACATAGACTCTCCCTACACCTTTGAAAAGCATGGTTCTACCAAAATTGTCTCTCTGTTACTGCTAATAGCACTAACAAAACATTCCTAAACAGTCTTTTTTGGCACCAGACACTTCCCATGGAAATGTGGCAGACAGAACTCATTAGTTATTCAAAACCAACCCCACTTTCCACAGCAACCTAAAGCTGAGTTTGAATAGCAGCCTCAAACCCTACATTACCCACCCACAAAGGGCCAGATGTGAATCTTTTTATCTCACTGTGACTTGAGACACATGCACATGTTTACTACTTACACCAGATCTAGGGATGGAGAGAGGGAAGCAACAACTTGGTTTAATTATAGCCCCCGATTCAGCAAAGCCCTTAAGCTTATGCCTGATTTTTAGAGTGAGCAAGTCATTTTGTGGCCTGCAAAGACGCAATATAGTAGAAGATCCAGAGAGCAAACCGTATTGCAATGGCATGTTTATTGTGATCCTTCTTCTCTGAGTAACAAATACTCCTGTTGACAAACATCAACAGCATCTCTCCAAGAGATTTGAGGAAAGGCACATGCTTGTCTAAGTGTATTCCAACCAATATAAGATACTACTCACAAAAATCCTTGACTCATTGCTGAACCTTTGACTACAACAAAGATGGAAGTAAACATATTTAAATAAATCTAGACTTATAGGCATGGTAGCTCCCCAAAGGATACTCCAACTACAGAGCATCCCAGAGCCACCTGCTCAGTCTCAAGGTATTGGAGATTTTACTTCCTACATAAAAGCACTACACAACAAACTATTACTAAAACGAATGAATTCAGAACTGGTCCCCCACCCCGCATATGGAAGGTTTTAAGGACTTACCTTATTACTGTTGGTGTGATTTCAGCACAGAAGAATACACTGAGACTTCCAACTGCATGTGATGAAAACATACCCACAATGGAAAATGCAGTAGAGAATTTGTCTTTGACACTGTCACTCATACCTGTTAGACCCATATACAAAGAAATTGAGATCAGTGCAACCAGTAAAATATCACCAAGAAAGAAGAAGAAAACATATCAGTACACCTCATTTACTGCCTTAGTTATAAGTTTAAGGCACATTTACTGAAAGAAATGTTTATAACTCAGGCCAACTACCCAAAACAAATTTATGAAAAAAATCACAATACACTGCCAAAAATGGCAGCAAGCAGACAATCTCCAAATTATTTATTACCAGACACTACAGAAGCAAAACTCATGAAACATCCCCAAACAGCCTTTTTGGCACTAGGCACTTCCCACCCAAACTTGGCAGCCAACTGGAGCCAGACAGAATTCACCAGTTGTCTAAAACCAGGCACAGCTCTGTGGCCTAGACATTTAAACACGCTGTGACAGAACAAGAAGAAAACAAGATGTTTCTGACTCCATGAAGGACTACAAAAATTGCCTATGTTGCCATAGATTAGGCTCAGAGATGTCCAGCTACCATGCTAATGATCCAACTTCCTCCACAATTACCTCATCTGAACATAGGAATAACTGGATATCAAGGAGTAAGATCACACCTAGGTGCCTAGTTTGAATGGGATCTGGCCTTCAGACTGTAAACAGATGCCTCATTTGAGACAGGTCTGACTGTCCTGGGTTTTGACCCAGATCAATACAGGAGTGGCAGCCATTTACACACACTGCTCTTCCAAGCTGTATTGCTGCACCTCTGCCAGCAGGGGTAAGCAAGAACACAGAGCCTGAGTGATCAGCTTGTCTCTAGAATGACTGGCAATTAACTTAAATGAGCCTCATTTAACTTGCATAACTTAAAGATCTGTAGGATCCCAGTCCAGAAATTCTCTCTTCCAAGAGAAATAAGATGCCTGTTTACAGCCTAAGGGCACTATACGAACGGTGGACCTCTGCTCCAATGCGTGCTAATTAGCACGTGCTGGACCAGACTCGATTAATCAGGTCTGCTGCGAGTCCGCTAATTAGCATGCTCCAGCAGCCTCTGCATCACGTATATTCAGTGTCTCCTGCCACTATTTTGAAGCATGGGGATACTGAATACATGTAACATTGTGGGCACATAGCCATCTCTCAGAGCTGCTCTAATTAAAACGCCCCCACTCCACCCCATAGCACATGTATAGACACCCCTAAGTGACTGTAACAGGGCACTGGGATGTGCCTGGTCCTTTAAGGGAGCAAGCAGCCTGAGAGACTGCTGGCAGGTAGCGGTCAGGTAGTCTCTCCCCAGCCACTGTGCGGGGAGGAGCTCTTGGCCTGGTTTATATCGAATATCTCTGCAGACCAGGGAATTAAGGCAAGTACTCTGGGTTGAGAAAGAGTGGGCTTTTACAGACAAGTGGCTTTGTTTTTTTTAATTCCAGAGGGTTGAGGTGCTCACTAGAGGGGCCGAGAGCCCACAAGGGTTGAGTATATAGGCTACGGAATAGCCCCAGGTGGAAAGATATGCCCACGAGGAGATAGATAAAGTTTGCCCTCTAAAAGGGGCAGAAGAGAGCTGTTGCAGCTGTTGTGGAATTTCTGTTATAGCCTGGGGGCTTACAGTTTTGTTACTGTTTATACTGGTGGTTTGGGCTGGGACTGTAAGGGGTGGTTTTGGAGGTCCCATTAGTGCCTGTGTCTGTGAGCTCTGTCAAGGGCCCGCTCAAGGCCTGAGCTATCGTTGATCCCAGTGAAAGGGGTAGCGCACGGCTGCAGAGCAGATGGGGGCCAGGTGCACAGTGAGACAGGGGCCAGAGGTCCAGTGCCTGAGGGGCACAGCAACATAGAGGCCAGAAGCCTGGTGCCCGAGAGGGGCACGGCAAAATAGGGGCTATGGGCCTGGTGCCAGAGGAACGCAGCCATAGTGGGTCAAGGGCCTGGTAGACAGAGGCCTGGAAACTGAAGGAGGTAGATGGATGCTAATGCCTCAAAGCCAGGTCCAACGCTGTGGGCCTAGGCTTAAAAAAAGGCCTAGCAAGGGGAAAGGGGCAGAGACGGGGGAGGCTGAAGCCCTAACAGGAGAGAACAACATTATGATAACATCTGCGAGCCTTGGGGCATAGTGTAGGGGAGGAAAAGGAGCCATGCAATTTCCCCTAAGGCTATAGTTGCCTAGTCAAGCCAGGAGGGAACTATTCAGATTGAAGCTCACTCTGAGGCCTGTTGGTAGCCTCCCCTAATCACTCTTGAATAGTAAGATCAAGACATGGCAGGAAAGTGAACTAGAGGGAGAGGCCATAAAATCTGAGCCAGACAGGAGTTGCAGTTCCACTAGGAGGTGTCACGGCTGCCTCAGTGGGTTTGTGACCTGTTACAGTGACTTATGAGCCTAAGTCTCACTTGCAAAAGGGGCATTGGCACTTAGGAGCCTACTGAAAGTCAGGAGGACTTTAGCTCCTAACTGCTTAAATTACTTCAGAAAACGGGACTCTAATATGATTAAAAATTAGACCCTACATCAAGAACTCCTTCCTGGGACTCCACTTCTCAACCCAACATGAACACCAAAGCTAAGTCAAAGGTGACTTCTGAACAGGAGCAATAAAAAAAAAAGAACAGCCATTCCTAAGAGATTGCATTTTAACTGCAGCTTTCCCCATAAGCACCAGCAATAAAATGGCAACCAGGTTCTTTTCTCCTCAGCTACTCTGGCCTTTCAGATACTCCCATTGAAAATGAAAACAGTTCTAATGCACTAAATAGACATTACTTGTAAACAGTACCTGAGTCTGGAAGTTGACTATATTTTCCAATCACTGGATCCAAGGCCACAAAAGACGGAGTAAAATGGAGGGAGGGATGGAAGGAGGGGGGCGGAAGGAGGGGAGAGGGAGAAGAAGAGAGAATATGAAGTTAAATATGCAATTTATTCAAAGTGAAAAAACACCCCAACCAAACAGTGCCCTCCCTCCCTCCTCACTTCACTTTTAATGCCCTGGTAGATTTAAATGTTCTTTGAAAACTTGTTTTACATGGCATGCAATTTCCAGTCCTATTCCCAACTGGAGGATGGGATTCTAATGAGATGATAATAAGAAATGCATAGTGGTAAAGCACTTTAAGAGACCCAGAATTAGCACTGAGATTAAACAAAGGTCTCTCTGTTGGTAATGAAAGGGAAAACGAAGCTGCAGTCAAACTTCACTGTTACCCTGAGGAAATGGCCACAAGGGCTTTAGTTAAAAGCAAAGCCTTTAGAATCTGCATCCCTGTGTTACTAAGATGCATCTTTCTTGCCAAAACACAAAGTGAGTTTGCAGCATGTAAAATTATTCACAAGTTGCAATTGGCTCAAGTTCCTAAGCAACGCTAAGTAATACCACATAACAGGCAGAACAATTGTTATGTGAGTCTGGCACAACTCAGCACTTGAGCATTACCAGAAATCTTTAAAAAAATTATGAGTCAGGAGAAACCTTGGAGCCTTACTCTGTTTACTGTTGACAAAAACTTTAGCCCCCTGTCTCATCCTCTGCCTCCTTTCCTTTGTAGCTCTGATTAACAGAACTTTGGTGCAGTTCACAGACTCCAGACAACATTTCTCTTTTCTTTTCAAACCATTCTCTAGTTGCCTGTAAAGAGTGAAATTGGTATGGCAGGTGGGAGAGAGGGAGGGGGAAGAGGCAGAAGCACTGCAGCAGAAGGAGCCGAACTTGCTTCCAAAGCCTTTTCCTCCTCTTTTCCAAAAGCTGCCTATCAAACTGTACAGGTCTGAGAAGCTTAGGATGCCAAGATATGCTGAAGTGACAGCAATGTCTACAGTTATCTCCCATTTTTGATTTTCTGAAAGAATAAACCACCTGGTTCCATTTAGGAAACAATCTGTGAGGATCTGTAGAGGAAAGCTCTCTCTCCACTTTTTTTTTTTTTTTTAAGGTGGAAAAAAGACTTGGCTAGCTGTCTCTCAGAAATTAGTTGATTCTCATTTGTTCTGTATAAGACACTGATAAATATTTCACCTCTTTGGAGATGAGTGAATTTAGTATTGGAAGAAGTGCCAGATGGACAGCCTTGGAGTCTGAGGTCCATACAATGTGTATGCAACAGACATGCTGCCTGCTTATTGCCTCAGTTCTGGGAAGGAGCCAGCTCCAAGGCTGAGAAGGTCTTTCAGAAAAGAGATGGAGACTCTCCCTCTGTTGAGTCTGTTAAAGATGCTGGTTAATATTCTGGTCTGGGAGTGAGGCCAGGGGATGTTCAGTTTCTTTTTTCTCGTGACATATTCTCTCTGGCCGACTGCCTATGGGAGAGAGGTGTCTACAGAAAGTTAACTCATTCAGCACTTCAGAAACATTTTTTTTTTGCAGAATCAGGCACCTCCCATTGACTCTAGTTTGTTTTCAACAGCTGGGAAGGGAAGAGCCCATGAGAACAGGGCAGAAAGCTTCTAATTCATTCTTTATGCCCATCTTCAAGGTTGGGAATGGAAGGACAGCAGAAATAGTCGGGTTATTGCAATCCAATTACCCTGGTTTCTTCAAAAATCTTTTTATCATCCATTATTATACAGACTTTTATTGTTTAGATGCATGCTATCTCTAAGGTACATGTAAGTGGACTTAGGCTCCTAAGTGGGATCCTATTCCACCCTGCTCAAGTCCCTGAAAAAATGTAACATGCCATTATCCTTAAGATTAAGTCATAAAATTGCACCAAAGAGTAGGGGTGTGCGAAGCGGGCCATATTCAGTTTGGATTTGGCCCGAATCTGAAGATTCAATGCTGATTAGGAGAATCAGCGATTTGGCCATAGACACGGTTTTAAATGTTTTTTTCTAGGCACCAGCGCAGCTCATGAACAATGCTGGGGTATATGGAGTGTCCCACAGGAGTGCGGGGGCCCCCCTGTGTGTTTAGCAGTGAACCCGGAAGCAGACCGGAACTACTTCCGGTCCACTACTGGGTCTGCCAGTGAGTGCACTGGGAGCTCCCCCCGTACCTTCCCCAGCTTGGTGATCGGCCATAGGCGGACCCCGGGTGCCCTCCCAGACCCAGGAGGCACCAGTTGTCAAGCCGGGGGGGGTGGGGGAGCTCCCCAGAGTGCTCCCCGGTGGACCTGGAAGTGAACTGGAAGTGCTTCTGGCCCACTTCTGGGTCTGCTGCCCAGTGCGCTGGGGAGCCCCCCGTGCTCCTGTAGGACGCTCCATCCACCCCAGCATTGCAGTGTTGACGAGCTGCCTGGTACCTTGAAGTATGTAGAAAAAACATTTAAAGCTGTTTCTGTGTCTGAATCACCAAATCTTTCAGAATCTCTCCAAATTGATTTGGAGAGATTAAAGGGTCTCTTGATTTGATTCGAAGATTTGGCCACGGATTGGGCTGAACTGAATCAGGGATCGAAGCTTTGCACAACCCTACCGAAGAGGAGGACCCAGTCTTATTTTTTGTATGACCTGGTTATCAGGGATTAGGACAGGGTGGAACAGGATCACACTAAAACAGAATAAGATCTGGCTTACGTATTATACATCCACACAATCCACATTTATTGAGAGCCATGTTTCTTAACTGTGTTGCTACCTGTGAATTGCCAGTGGCTAGCAACAAATTTATCAAAGAGGAGGAAGGAGGGAACACAGAGCTCCTGCGTTGGTGGGACTGCTCAGAGTAATACCTATTTTGGGAGCCACCGCAGAGGCAAGTGCAGTCCACGCAACCTGACTCTTTTGCCAATGGCCATTTGTCTATTTTTTTCTTTTAATAAAATATGATATAACCAGAAGCTACCAAAATCCAACCAGCTGCCCATGATACAGCTTTGGTGAACAATGTTCCTCACAGATGGTAAATACCTTTTCAGCACATATAAACAGAGAAGAACTCGGAGTTTCTGTCAATCAGTTTCATGCATGCTTAAGCAAGCACGTTGCATGTCAAAAGCACCTGAGAAAGGGAAGGGATCCTTTTTTGTTTGTTTCCTGGCTTATTTTCTTTACAGCCTCTTTGAAAGACAGCTCTGTTGGACCCTGCTCATTTGAACCTGAATGCAATTTCCATGGATTCTCTTAAGAATCTTTTTTTTTTTTTTTAAAAACCTGGTTTTCTTAGGAAAATGAACATCAGATTCCCCTCTCCCCCTTTTTATAAACAATCAGTTCTGACATGCCAGCCAAGATGGAAATACACTCTGTTTTTAAAATCTTCCTCAAGTGGGTGACTAAGGATACTGTTACATGTTGCATCCTTAACATGTGTTAAGGGATCCTAAAACAGAAGTGTCCACACATTAGGGCAGGAAAACACAAACCAAGTGCACTCTGAGCATCTCAGAGAGACTCCTCTTCCAGCAAGGATTATCTCGAGCTTGTCTTGGGCAGCTTGTGTTGCAGCCACATTAGACTGTTCCAAAGGGCCAAGAGGTGGGAGTGGTTCTCCAGTATCCCAGGAGGCACCACTCCCAACCATTCCCAGGTGGATACTCTTTCTTCCCCCAGAGCAACAACAGGAGTAGCCAGAGGAGACTTCAAGGTAAGAAGTCACCCCCCTCCCTATTCTGGGCTCACCCCCATGCCCTCTATGTCCCTCTGTTTACCTGCACTGGCACTGTGCTGGTTGACTGCCTGCCTGCTAATTGCTGCCTCCACAGCCATTGCTGCAGCTGCTGCTCTCTGTGCTGAGCCTAGCTCAGAGTGGCAGTGGTACTTGGGTTCCCCCTCCCTTGACTGCTCCTGATCTGGGCCATTTAGAGTAGGTAAGCCAGACAGACAAGAGTCAACTTGTCAGCTCTTAGCCATGCCCCTTTTCACCAGCCCTCTAAGGGCAAGTCAGAGCAGTGCATGTTGCATAGGGTATTAACCCTTAACATACAACTGCTTACAACATATGCTGCTTTAACATCAACTAACATTCCTGAGAGTTAACGTGTGCTCATTGTAACATGCAACTATACCCTTAGTCTCACGGGCTGTCCTACAATACCCCGAACAATGGAGGACAGGGGAGAAGAGGACAAAAGAGCATCACTAATTTAAAGAGTGCAGATAAGGTAAGGAAATCTACACCAAGTTATATTTCCTCTTGCCTGCAATAAGAGTGCAGAACATGTGAAACAGGATTCTCCATGCACAGTTGATTTGCTGCTTCTTTGCACTGCAGTAGATCTTTATGAAATTTCTTCCTCCCCCCTCCCCCCAACTGTTAGCTGAGACCAGCCAGAGATTCAAGACCTCATGCCGCTCTGGAATACAACATGCCCTGACCTCTAGTTGCAAGTCACTTGGATGTCTTCACTTACAGTTGAGAAGGCCAAGCTGTAGAAGTGATGCCAGAGCTGTTAGAATCATGAACAGCAGCAGTCCTCCTCTTCGCCCTAGAAACCCAACAACTGGGCACATGGCTAGACAGGATGCCAAAGCAATCCCAGCCATGGTATAGTAGTCCGCATAGAAATTATGGGTGATCGGCATCTTCACCTCAGGGCTCATCATGCTTTTTGCAAAACAGTGGTGTATCCCAAACCCGGTCAGACTAGAGGAAACAGAAAAGAGCAAGAGATCACTGCTGAGTAAGTCAGCAAATACTGAAATACAACAAGCTGGAAGGGAACACCAAGTCTGAGGTGAGAATTATGTCCATCTTGGCATGTCTGATCTAGCACAATGGGGCTCAGATCTCATTTTGGCCCCCCCACTGTTCTTCTGTAGAAGGAAAAATAGAAGTTGGAAAAAAAAAAATCAAACCAAAGAGGTGACATCTATTGGTTTGATGCTAATAGGGGCTGGATAACAGCAGGTCCCACATCAAACGATATAGTTGTTTGTTTGTTTTTATTATTATGTGATTGGAAGCAACCTGAAATCAGCCAGGAAAACCAATCATAAGCTGCCCACAAACTAACTGAACAGGCTTCTATCACCATTTAATCTTACTCCTAGCTCTTGTAATCAGTGCTATTATATGGTTTATAAAGAAGCTGTGTGTGCGCTCAGGCAGCAAAGAGGTTTCATATAAACCAGACCACACCAAAGACAGCAACCTCCATCTAGCAAGGTAATGCTGCTGCTGACAGCTCTCAAAATGAATGTTTCATGTGACATGGTGAACCTGTGTTTAATTCATTACTGATTGTTATGAAAGAGACAATGCATGGATTAGGCTGTGATTTATATCATTGTTATGAAAGAGACAATGCATGGATTAGGCCCTGATTTATATCCCCCTTCCACTTTGCCTTCCACTTATTTTAACACAAGAACAGGTTCTTCTCTGCTCTAAGCACCATGTTTCCTCCCCCTGGTTTCAAATGCTTATTTTAAAAAATGGTGGGTAGTAGAAAGAAACTGCTATACTGGTGTGATATAAAACCAGTGACAAGTGACCTGGTATATTTTAGTGCTATGAATGCCACCCTCAGAGGGTGCCATAACTCTCCCAGAAAAGAACTACATATGTGGCAAGTCCTGTAGTATTTGGGTAACATGGATCTGTTGCCTTAACTGAAAAGTAAACTACACATTGCCAAACACCTATACATCACTAAGGCACCTTTGTATTCTAGCCTTCAGAATGACTGGCTACATGTTATATCAGTATACCATTGTTTGCTTTAGAAATCTACAGTGCATTCCATACAGAATCTTTTTTGGACTTTAACTATGAGCTTTACTAGTCAGACAACATTATATTTAATATATTAGTGGGCAATCCTAATCCATTACATATACAAACAAGCACATACATTTGCAATGCATTTTAGAGTGACAGCCATGTGACAGATTGAATACTCATATAATTTATCCTCTGTATTTTGCTCTCTAATCCACATTTCCAGAATTTATTCTAGTATCCTAAACTGTTTAGCAGCTGCAAAATTGCAGTTTTTAATAAATCAGGCTACCCTGAAGAGTTTTTCTCTTTCTTTCTTCCTGAAACACCTCGTCTTCCCCCAAATTTACACCTTCCACAGTTTCACAATAGTGGTGAAGAAGGAGAAATGGTAATAAGGAAATGTAGTAAGCTTCTACCTACAGAGGTTCAGTTGGTCCAATACTGTAACTCAGGGCTGTCTATATTCTGAATGGCCGGAGGGTACATGCCCCCTGAGCTTCAGGCCACAGTAGACCGAGTCCTGCCATGCCAAAATGGGGGGAGTGACACCCAGTGGGCTGCAGTTTAACTCCTTGGGGGCCAGATATAGTCAATGGGCTGTCAGTTGGACAGCTTGCTGTAACTTAATGTGGGGTCATGAAATTCTTCATGTAAATGAAGATGACAGGATGGCCCTATAATAAGCGAGATGCTGCCAATGGACTGGTTATTTTGAAAACCCTGTAAGACAGATGTCCACACATACTTATTCCCAGGCCAAGATCTAGTGCTCCCAACATTTTGTCATCTCTATTTAAATCTCACAGATTATTCAAATGACGACCTCATGCAAGGGATATATTAGAAATACATTCATGTCCCTTTGATAAGGTAATTGGGGTCATTTAGAAAGAGATTCAAGTTTGTAATTTTGTGGCATGCCTAAGCATTCTTATGCTGCATCTAAGAAAGTGTATTTTCCCCATATAATCCCTTAGCAACTTTGAGGACGCAACCAGTTTAATCGCTAAACAAAGAAGTGACCTTGTATTTCTTAAAAAGCAGCCTCTTTTCTTTGCCAGATTAAAACACTTACTTTTAGAAATATTAAACCAAGTACATAACAGTTTTATAACTTTGCAATTTATTACTTTCAATTAATTAAGCATTGCTTTTCTCTTCCCCCACTTCTTCCTTGAAATACGATTCAAGACACAAAGGCAAAAATCCTATTCTTCTTCATCTCACAATCTCCCCAATTCCTCCTAGAAAAAGTATAAGACCTATGGATTAAAGTGGTAGCCATTAACTGTCCTCAGTGTAACTGAAACCTACAGCTTGCTCTTTCACTTAAGCATAGGTGGAGAAAGAAAAATTTGGGGGGGCTGAGTGCATGTGCACATATGCCCCTCCAGCAGGTGAGTCTGCGGGGGGAGGGGAAAAGGCTATAGGGGGAGGGAGTAGGGCAGGGTCTGGGGTAGGGTGCTGCCCAGCTGGGGTGGGGCACAGGACAGAGCTGCAGCTTGTCTGGGGGATGTGGTGGGGGAGGGAGTCTCCTGAAACTGCACATGCCAAGGGAAGACACAGGGGTGCATGCCCCCAGATCTTTGCGGGGCAGGGCAGGCTAGGCTGTTGCTGTGGGCTAGGCTCTGGGCTATGCTGGGCTCTTCCTGGCAGGTGGCAGCAGTGCTGGGAAAGGGGCACGGCAGCTACACAACATTTTGGGGTGACTGCAGCTCCCCCGCCATAGCCCCCTCCCAGCGCTGCTGGGGCTGCCTGCCCTCAGCTCAGCCCAGCCAGGGCCCCCCACTGGGAAGAACCTGGCATTGTCAGCCCACAGCAGCAGCCTGCCCCAGGCAGATCTGGGGGCACCTGCCCTCCATGCCTTCCTGCAAGCCGCTTGCGACTCAGTCCTGTGCCATGCCAGCTGTGCAGCGCCTGCCCTTTCCCTAGCCTCAGGCTGCCCTAGCCCCACTCCCCCCTTCACCGCTGCCTGCGTGCCCCTCCCTACCCCTGCTGCAGCCGCCGGAAGCCCTTGGCTGGGCTGCCTTGCATCCCTACCGCTGCCTTGCTTTTGGTGGGCCTAAGCCCCGTAAGCCTCGCCTTCCACCACCTATGAACTTAAGAAAAAATGTCTTCTTTCACTGACTAGAAGATCAAACACAGAACAATTATTTAACAGTTGACTTCAATTTTAAAAGGAACATTGTGAAATGCAAAAATACCACCTGGTAGGACTATTCTGTCTTCTTGACTCTACCTACTGGAGTAGAGGGTAGAATTTTCAAATGCATCCAGAGACTTAGGAGCACAAGTCCTTTGTATCTGGAAAGTGAAGGTGGAATTCCGATAGAAATCAGTAGGACTTGTGCTCCTAAGTCACTTAAGAGCACTTGGAAATGTTATCCACTTACCAATAGCCAGTGTTTGTGCACGAGGGAGGCAGAGAGAGGAAAACTTAATGACTGAGACAACAATGCACTTGCAGGGCTACCATTTCCAAGAAGCACCTGATTTTTTTGCTCCACATCTTAAAATGTCTGGAGAAGGAGCTTACCAGCAGTGCCCAACTCCCATCTTAATTGCTCTGTTAAGCTTCTTCAAGTGCAAACTTTCCTGGTATATAGCTTACTCCTCTTATCAAAGATCAGTTATCAGAGACAGGGTGTTAAGGTCCTGTACCGGGAGGAAGATGGCCTCTGTGTTCTCCAGCGCTGCCCACTATCTACTTTCAGTTTACCAGCAGCAAACACGTTTGACATACTTGACAGGAAGATGTTGGACTTACGAGTTCACACACAATACCACAATGTTTTTCCACAGGTTCCTGGTTCCCACCACTTTAACAATGCAGACCTTCTTGGGCCTCCTGGTAAGCTCCTTTTCCAGCTCTGAAACAAACCAAATTAAAAGTCATTCTCTGGTGGGTGGGACAGCAAATATCTGGGGAAGTTTAGTCTTTGTTATAGGAAGAGGGGTATCATTGCTTCTTTTGTTGCTCCGAGGATGCCACACACCTTGAACAATTCTTGATCAGTTTTCAAGACTCCAAATCCTGCTGACCCCCTCTACACAGTAAGTGGGGGTCATGTGGATCCCTTCAGATTCCAAAGTTTCTCTCAGTTTAAAAATATTTATGTAGAAGATATACTTAGAGGTAGGAAACGGAATTCAAATGGACAATCAGGCCCAGAGCTAGAGTGCTAAATAAGGTGGCCTGATATACACGAGCATCTCTACTAGTGTTATAATCCTGATAAGCAGTGCTTTCTGCTCATGCTATACCTTTCCCAGAAACAGCTCTCACATATGCAACAAAACCTGTATCATTTCTGTAACATGGACCTGTGCCACTGAGGAAGGGATTGGATACTGCCAAATTTATTTGATATGTGCAGCCTTAAGGAACACTGAAACCTAGGTTTCCACAAAGAAATGGCTAATACATTGTGTTCAGGGCACTGTTTGTCCTGAATTTCAGCCACTTAAAGTAATTTTGATAGAAATTAGAAATGGAGGGAAGCCTTTAAAAAATGAAGAAGAAAGAAGGAAAGAAAAGGTGGCTCATTGTAACAATCCCCTCAGAATCTGAAGCAGCACTCAGTGCTCTAGGATGGGGGTATGCATCAGCCTCACAGCCCTATCTGTTGTTTTCACAGTCCTGCTGGGGCAACTGTGAAATGCTGTTGCAGTTTTGTACTGGCATGCGGAAAACCCTTGACGATGGGAATTTGCAACATTTTTGTGAGACAAAAGGCAGAAAGGAGGACACTGTCCATTCTCTTAAACATTTGAACCCTCAGGATTAATTTAACAGTTACATAAACATTAGACCATTCTTTTCAAGACACCGGATCAGTTGCAAATAATTTAAATGGTAAAACTCTGGTAAAAACTTAAGAAATGGCAACTAGACAGAAACACAATAGCGGAAAAATCCAAGAGTATAAAGTGTACCCATTTTTTTTTATTCATATCACCCAAAAAACTATGTACCAGTTACAATACATACTGGCTGCTTTAGGAGATTGCAAGACAGCCATCCTTCAAGTCTTCTGCATCAGACTGCTTGATACATACATGAATAGTTTGGCTCTCTCTAGCCCCACAGTCTTCTACAAACTTTTAGTGGAGTAAAATGTAATAAAGATTCTCCAAAAGGAATACAAGATGAGATGAAGGTAAACTGCTGGGGGAAGGAAGAAATTGTATGTTCACTCGTATTTGAGAAATGTCTTTATTAACAAAATACTGATGCAGAAACGCTATTTATGTCAATATCCATGCTCTTCAGTACCAACAGGTAAGCTAGGCAGGTAAGCCTTACCTTCAAGGCCAAGTTTTGAAGAGGTACCAGAGTAAAATGTATATTACGTTTGTGTGCAAGTAGGATACAATGTTGCTTTTATATTTACACAAAATCTTTAAATATCTGATCCACAAAATGCAGCATGAAAAAATACCTATAAAAGGTATTTGATTATATTATTAAGCACAATAATTTGTATTGCAGTATTGTGTAGCCATCTTGGTTACAGAATAAGTCCCAAAGTGTTGGATACTGAATAATGATACCTGCTCCCCCCAAAATTATAACAAGTATAAAAATGAAACAAGAGAGGTTGGATACAGCCAATGGATGCGGGGGTAGAAGGAAACAAAAGCCAATATTTGTCAGCATGAAAAGTCTAAGTCAGAGCACACCCACTACATAACTGTTATCAAGATTTCTGTAGGCACCAGGAAGGAGGAGAATTTTAAGGTGCTGAAGGACTGCAAAGAGACTATGGATGATCAGGGGCTCCCTCCCCACCTGCACAAAGGGAAACAACATTTAACTAAAAGCAGTGAAGCCAGAAGTCAGCATTCTCTGCAGCATCCAAGGAGGCTGTAGTTAGTGTAGGAAGAGCATATAAGGAGCCTTTGAAGTTAAGATGAGCAAACTTCTGTCTTTTGACATGGCAGAGGGATGCAAAAGTGAGGAGTGAAATAATTAAAGTCAACTTTGCAGCAGTTTCTGAATGGGTGTAGGAGGGGCAAAATCATTCTGAACATACCCACATGGCAACAGACATTTGTAAAACATGACCTGAAGCCTCATAAAGAGAAAAGAAGTCAAGAGGAGAAAGTCAAACAAAATGAATGATATTGTATAAAGTCATGGTACACAAAAAGGCTTAACAAGGTGTCCTCTGGTAGTGGTATTAGCTGTTGTCACAACTGTCAGGTCGGCATGCTCCTGGAGTGGAATGGTGTAGCTGTAGCCAAGTAGTTGTAACCTCAACCTCGTTTTAGTCGGAGTTAAAATTTCAGGGTGTGGACAGAAATGCATTTCCCTGCTGTAACTGAGAATGCTTTGCAGGAAGTGTTCTGAGTTGCGATAATCCCCCGGACCAAACAGAAGTTCACTGCTGGTTCCAGGGGGAGGGGAATCTAGCTGCTGGCTGGGAGCCTACAGCCCATTCCCACCAGCAACGGCCCCTCCTCCCTCCAAACCTGTCACTGTTTTCAGGATGGGGCGGGGGGGTGGGGAAGGGAGCAGAGGAAGCTTGTTCCAAGGGTTCCCAGCCAGTGCGGGAGGGTGGGGTAGGTGAACTGGAGCACCCTCATCTTGGGGGGGCTCCAATACACCTGCCCCACCATCTAGCAGGGGATGATAAAACACCAAAATGAACTCCCTGTGCTCCTTTCCCCGCTCCCATTCTAAAAACAGCAACAGGCTGGGAGGCAGCACAGACAGAAGTTATAGAAGATGCTCTGTTTTGAAACATCTTCATATGACCTCTCATGCAATGAGGGTTCAGATTTTTGCCTGAATGGCCATTTTTAAAGCTGTTTGCAGATGTGCACTTGTGTTTGGTCATGGCTACAGACTGCCTTCTGTGGTCAGATTGTGTGAAAATTGTCACTTCTGTCTATGCCAACAGTGATTTAGCTTAATTCTGGAGCATGCAGATGTAACAGGTACATTGTTACAGCTGGTGTTGGTTCTGAGTAGTAACTCTCCCTCTCCTTTTAAAGCAGCTGAAAATTATGTCTGTCCATAGCCAGGAATGCTGGTTTCCCAATGCAGCTTCTTCCATCAGTGTAAGAAATTAAGAGCCATGTATCCACACTGCTTGGAACATTCAGACCTTGATTTAAACATGTTGGGGACGCCCAGTTCCAGAGATCTGGCTTAGGTCACTGTTAAGAGTAGAGTGAAAGGTAGTTCATCCCCTGCCAACACACAAGTGCCTAGGTCCCGTCTAATTTTAAAACTTCACAATCCAAAGCATTTCCACCTCCCTCTCTGGGAGGCTATTTTATAGTTCAGTGGATCTTCCTGTATAAATAGATTTTACTGACCTATATCTTAAAATGCTGCCACTCAATTCCATGCCATTAACTCAGTTTTATTTCTTACACCAGACTAAAAATGCTTCTTTAGGTCTGTTTTTCCCACTCTTCAGATATTATCTCCTTTAACTACTGGTATTCATCTGTGCTTTATATACTTCACTCTTTCAATACTTCCTTAATCAACGCTGTCAATTATTTTGCTATTTTTCACTGCACTCATTCCAACTTATAGTTATAGTATGAGGGTAACCAGAAGTATATTCCAGATGTGGGCACACTATAGCTATAGACAGAGGAACTAACGCTGCTGTACATAAAGTCTTAAACTCCAGACCAAGTAATGATGTGCTTAGTCCCTGATAAAGTCCTTCATTTATGATCTTAGCCAATTATCCTTGCTCTAGTTGCCATAAGCATTTAAACCATAAGACAAAATCATCAGATTGCAAACAAATGCAACTCTCAATAATACTCAAATTAGTTGACCCTTTGGGTCACCTTTCTCACTTCTTCACTTTTTTCCATTGTTCCCTTGTCTATAACTCAGACATATAGCCAAGCATCCTCAAAGTATGAGGCCAGGCTGGCATTTAAACTCTAATTTATGGCAACAGATGTAGCAGAGACTATAAAGCCTTTACCTCCCGTTTAAGTGCATAGTACAATATAAGGAAGAACATTTGTCTGAAACACTAGGAGCCCTGGACAAATACTTAAAAATATGCATATTATACCATCACCACTGCAGTTTCCTTCACTTACCACAACTTCACCAGCAACATAAAACACAAACAATGACTACCTCTGGCCTAGCAAGGTAAGCAGCAATGTGCTCTCCTACTCACCCCAACCTCACCCAATGCCAAAGTACCAGGGGGAAGGCTCGACCTTTTGGAGAGGGTTTTCAAGGTAAACTATATTGGACTGCTGTGGAGGTGGCAAGAAAAGAGGGAAGTTCTAAAAGGAAGGGTCTTCAAGGAAGAGGTCTTGCCAGCAGCCTGCTGTTTTATACACCAACCAGACTCTACTTAAGGTATACAAATGCAATTGCCTGTTACAGGGGAAAAAAGATGGATTATTCATTAAAAAGGGAGATCTCAGATCATTTCAACTCTCTGGCTAAGTACAAACATTCAAAAAGCCCAAGGCTGAATCAATTCAGTCTTCACAGGTTAATCTAGTGTGTAGATTGAACCAATAAGCACGTGAACAGACATTCACTTTTGATTCCGGAAATGCAGTCACATGCCTGCAGTGGCTCGGGCCAGAAGCCAGCGGGGGAGCTAGAGCACACCTCGCTGCTTGGCTGAGCAGACAACTTGGGCCAAGGCTAGCCCACCCGCCCTGTGAGGGGAGGTTTGTGGGGGTGGTGCAAAGCATTGTGGGATGCTGGGGGACTGAGTTAACTTGAATCTGGACGGGATCTAGGACAAAAGTTCAATAAACCAATTTAACCTAAATTAGTTAAGATTTCATAGACATTAGGGCTGGAAGGCACTCTGCAAGATCACTGGGTCCAGCCCCCTGCCCGAGGGGCAGGAAGTCTGCT